CCAGGCGCAGTGGCGGTGGCAGGGGCTGAGGCGGGGGGCGGGGCGGCCGGGCTCGGGACACCCCCTCCCAGTCCCCTGGCTGGGCGGCTTCGGCTCCCGCAGCACTGGAGGCTGCAGCGGCCGGGAGGGCGACTTGCAGGGCGTGCGGGCTGCGGAGGACCCGGGAAGCTGTCCAACCCGGGGGCACCCTTCGCAGATTCCCTCCGCCGCGACGTCCCGCGGGAGCCGGAGGGACCCCGGGGCCGGTAGGGAGCGCCGGCGGCGGCTGCAGCAACATGAGGAGGCGGTGGGGCGCGCTGCTGCTTGGCGCCCTGCTCTGCGCACACGGTAAGCGGTGTTGCAGCGCCCGCGCCGACCGGCCCACCGGGAAAGTTTGTCCCCGGGTCCGGCCGCTACAGGACTCGCCTCCTGGGAGCCGGACGGCGCAGGCTAGGGCCTGAGAGCCCCCCTCTAGCTCACTCCAACAGTAACCCTGAAAAAGCATGCCGGGGAGGGCACTAGGAGCTCCCCCTGCTCCTGGAGCGCGAGAGGGCGCGGAGGTGGAGGGACGCCCCCCGGCTCCGGTCTGGGCCGGGCGGGATAGGATCTGAGATCCGAGACGCTAGCTCGCTTCCATCGCGGCTCTTTGGAAAGCTAGGGGCTTGCTTTTCTTTCAGGTTAAGACGGGGTTTCTGCGTCCTTGGGGCGTGCGTATGGATGTGTGCAAAGAAAGGAAAGCGAGAAAGATGGTCGCTAAACCTATAAATTGTAAATAGTTCCCCCTTCCAGGGTCTGTGTGTTCTCGGGTGGATGGCCGAGAGGGGCCTCTAGGAATGTGGTACTCGAGCTCTGGGGATGCCTAGACTTCGGGAGCAATTCATCAAACTCCAGACCTGGCTCTCATCGAGGGTCTTGGGGGCACGTTTACTTGCAGCATCACCCCTCAGTGGTGTTTTGGGTTCGCTCTCCTTGCTGCGGCCAATCAGCTTCCTGCCCCGGATCCTCCCCAAGGGAGGGGTGGGGAACAGGGATGGAACTTTGGGAAGAAACTGCTGGAAGGCTCCGGCAGATCGGTCCTGGTTGGGGTAGGGGGTTATGGGCGCAGGGGTCGCGTGGTTACTGTACTTTCCGAGGCAGCCTCCTGGCCTGAGGGGTGGGGCCTTGGCCTCTGAAGGGGGGGGAAGCTGGGCGGATAGCGGCGGAACTGCAGCTTCATCTGCTCCTTATTAATAACGTGTTCGGTGCCCGGACGCAACTGTTGTGTCTGCTTAGGACTCCAGTGGAATCTGCTATTCTGCAGCTGCCTGAGAACACTAGTGTACCCTGTGATCTAGCAGCTGCCTCTTAAGTTTGTGCCCAAAGATCAAAGATCGATCTTGGAACTCTAACCGTATTCACCCGCTGGCTTTTCCACGTGGGAGAGGCGGGGTTCTTCAGATTCTCTGCGCAGCCGGATGAAGGGGTGGGGTTCAGCATGGAGGGGGTCTGCGAACCCTGGCAGAGCTCGGGTCTTTCCATAGAGTGGAAAGTTCAGGTTTCGGAACTTGCCTTGGCAAGGTACTGTAGAGCTGCCTGGGCACTTGCTTTAAAGATCGTTTTAGCTCCCGAATCCAAAACAGAGTTCTGGTGTCTTATTGAAACTACGCGTGGGTTTTCAATGGCCTTTTCCGTGTGGTGTCTAGCGCCGGCTTGAGCTCCTTCTCTCCGAGGAGTGGTAGCCTGGCCAACCCACGTTCCGGCTTGAGCTCCTTCTCTCCGAGGAGTGGTAGCCTGGCCAACCCACGTTCCGGCTTGAGCTCCTTCTCTCCGAGGAGTGGTAGCCTGGCCAACCCACGTTCCTCTCGGCGCGGTGTTCTCCCCCTCCCGGTCTCTCTCTCCTCGAAGGTTATTTGTAGCCTCTTCGGCGGCGTGTCGGGACAGCAGTCCTACTGGGGTAGGAATGTAACTGTTCTTCCCACCACATGGGCCCCTTAAAGGGACAGCTATGCATTTTGGGGGGTTTCTCCCCCTTCGGGCTGCAAGGGAAGGGGATGGAACTTTCCTCTCGGCCCCCTGGAGGAAGTTTTGAAAAAGATCAAGGGAAATAACTAGGCACTAGGGAAAAAAAGGGGGGAGGGCTAAAACGGATACCAACAAAGCCAAAGAGGAGATTGCCCCCTTCTGCCCCAGGGAAGGGGGAGCTGCTGGGAGATTCCGGGCTGCGACTGGCCAGGAGGAATTCACTTCTCCAGAGCTGCTGTCAAAACTGCATACATTATATCCTCATAGAGCATAGGATGAGAAAAGGGGCAGAGGATTATGGATATATAATGCTTCACAGAAAAAGCATGAGAGGGTTCTTGGTGACCCGTTTGGGTTCCTTTTTAAAGGAAAAGGTTTAATAGAAATTTCTAAGCTTGGAGACTTCACTTGCACACAGGATAGGCACAGGTAGTTAGAGTTGCACTTTGCAGGACCTGATATTGAACCATCGATCTAGAGGGAACAGATTAACAGTGAGACCTAGCGGTTACAGAGCCTACACCCCCCCTCCCCCCCAATAACTCCACTAGGATCCCTGCTGCTAAATCCAGGGGCTCAGAGAGAGGTAGTTCTCTGAAGCATAGCTGAGCATTAATTACACAGATCTAACTTCAGGAGTAATTCAAGACAGTAGACTAAGATGTTTATTTAGATTTTATTAGTCCTCAGAGTTTTCCTAGAGACTCTAGGTTTGGTATAGCCTATATAACACTTTACCCTTTAAAAATTTGGAGGGAAAACTCGGCATAGTGGCTCATACCTGCAGTTCCAGCACTTAGGAGACTGAGGCAAGAGGATTGCAGCAAGATTGAGGCCAACCTGGGCTACATAATGAGTTTGAGGCCATTCCAGGCTACAGATCAAGACCCTGTCTAAAAAAAAAAAAGCCTGTCATGGTGCCCAGTCCTGAAATTCCCAGCTCTTGGGAGGCTCAGGCAGGAGGATTACTACCTAGAGAGCTCAAGGCTAGCCTGAGCTACATGAAACTTACTCAAAAAACAAACTAGCAAAGTGTTGTTTTTAATTTTATTTTAAGAATTTAGAAAGAAAGAAACTTAATGGCTGTTAATAGCCATTGGTCTTTTCATCCTGAGGTTATGACTGCAGTATGTAGGAACTTCTGGAGTATTCTTCCAGATAATTGAATTCTGTACAGGAGGGCTTAGGTAGATAAAAAGCTATTTCTGAGAATGAGTGCAAAATAGTTGGGCCTGAGACTGGTCTTCTTTCCATCTGGCTGTTGTCATGGTTGCCATGGAGCTTGAGTGACCTTGACCTTGATCTCTTGGACTTGTGCAAGATGCTTGGCTTGTCACTGATTTTGGATTTCCTCTTCTGTTCCCTGTTGAATATCAGATGACATCTTTGGGACTGGCACATGGTATTAAGAATGACAGGTGCAAGGAAACCAAGTCTGGCCAACACAGAGCACATATATGCTCATCCTTTGGACCAACAAAGAACACAGGGGATCACATAGTACACAGTGTTTCGTAGCTCTTTGCTCATGTCTTCTACAGATTAACTGTTAGTCTTGGCCTCTAGAATGAAGATGGGAGAGATTGTTTATGTTGCCGCTTCTTTAAAGAGAACCAATAGTGGGGGTTGGAGAAATGGCTTAATGGTCAAGAGCACTTGCTTCTCTTGCAGAGGACCCAGGTTCGGTTCCCAGCACCTTCTTCTGGCCTCTGTGAGCACCAGGCATGCACATTGTGCACATCCATACATGTAGGCAAACACCATACACATAAAATAAAAGTAAATAAATCTTTTTTTTTTTTTTTGTCTTTTTTTGAGACAGGGTCTCCCTGTAGCCCCAGCTGTCCTGGAACTCACTATGTAGACCAGGCCCACCTTGAACTCACAGAGATCTGCCTGCCTCTGCCTCCGGAGTGCTGGGATCAAAGGCATGTGCCACCACACCAGGCTAATAAATCTTTTTAAAAAGAGAGTGGATCAATGCTAGGAGGTTCTTGAATGAGAATAATTTCAGAGTTTAAGACTGTACTCTCAGCCAGGCATGGTGGCACACGCCTTTAATCCCAGCAGAGGCAGGTGGATCTCTGTGAGTTCAAGGCCAGCCTGGTCTACATAGTTCCAGAACAGCTGGGCTACAGGGAGACCCTGTCTCAAAAAGCCCAAAAAAAAAAAAAAAAAGAATGTACCCTCATCTTTCTTATGATTGGGTATATCTCAAATTACAAAAAAGTTCCATGTCTTTGCTAGGCTACGTCTGTGAGCCTGTTCCTAAACCACCTTCTCTGCATTTTTTGGTGTTAGCTTAGCCAAGTTTTGCCATATGGACATGGGGCATGTGAATCCCAGGCTATGTCCTGATGGTCATCCCATTTTCAACAGTGGACACCTTTCTCTTCTCAGTTTGGTTGGATTCAGTGTCCCAGGGAAGATTATGTGCTGAGGTTCAGTTGGCTGAGCCTGACTTTGGTCCTAAAATAGCACTGACTGACTGCCTGTGCTTGCCGCTGTCCCTCCAGCTTAGAACTGGCAAGGTCAGGGTCTTTCTCCCTGGCATACTCAGGAGCACTGCCCAAGCTGAGAGCTGCACACAGGCATTTGTTCATTCATTCAGCAAACACGTGTTTGTCAAACTCTAATCTAATCACTGCATACCTCCCTCAGTGTTTGAGAAAGCACAGACCCGACTTGGTTCAACTCCTGGTTTTGACACTTCTTGGAGACCTAGTACAAAAACACTGACTCTCCCTGCAAATGAAGATAGAGTGGGGGAAAGAAGTGGTAATAAATTTCCACCTGAAGATTTCATGCTGTGAAAATTAAATGAAATTATAATATCTTCAAACTATTCAGCACAAAGCCCAACAACTGCTGTGTAACCATAGGCCTGGATAAATGTCAACTGTTTGTTACTAAGATTGCCTAAATGGATCAGAGATGACTCTGGACTTTGGAATATGGGAGTCAAATAAATTATATTAGTGTCATATGCTAAAAGAGGCTTGGTTCTTCATTTATTTCAGCCATTTTCCCCCTTTTCTTTTCTCTGTGAAATACCTTGTCCTTTCTTTCCCCTCTCTTGAAAACCTACTGAAACCTAACCACAGTTCCTGCCCATCTACATTTCTAGAAAACAGTTCTATTAAGCTATTAAAGGGAGGCAAGGGGAGCCTACTCTGCCTGAGTGATCCTCAGAGAGGCACTCCTTTGGAAGCTCCCTTGTTGAGGGGTCAGGGGTGAGCCCCACAACTTCTCACCCCAAGATTACTGTGACCCTGGGTGAGAGGGGTTGGCTGAGGTCTCTTGTAGCTGGAACAGTTTAGAATTCCAAACTTGTCCCTCCCACTGGC